TGTGCTGGGGTGGGTTCTCTGAGACACTCGGGTCCTCCTGCAAGTTTGTGCCTTGTTTCGGTCTCCAAGGCAGCATAAATAGGACAGAAGAGCGCTTGGTGCCGGGCTCAGAGTCCATGCAGAGGTCTGAGGTGTCCCCATCGGCGAAGGGGGAGCGGCCTGCCCAGTGGGACTGGGCCTGAGGAGGCCTCAGGCAGCATTTCCACAGGAGAATCACCGTAACTGCCAGCGCCATCCCAATCAGAATGCTGCCGAGGATCAGCGCTGCCACCCAGCTGCCGTCCCCAGCCTCCTCCTGCCCTGGGAAGGCCTGGGGCTCCGTGGCAGCCTGCTGGAGGCTGGGCACAGTGGCGTGCAGGTGGTGCAGGAGGAGGCTGTGGGCCCTGCGGCTCGTGTGGCTCTCAGTCCTGGCAGCGTGCTGAGGTGCTGCTGCAGGCAGGGAGCTCCAGATCTCCCCACAGAGCACAGCCAGCATCGCCTGCTGTCTGGCCATTTCCCTCCAGCCTCTTTACAAGGGTCCTCTGCTGTTGCAGGGAAGAAGTAGAACATGGTAACTTGTACACTGAATATCTGCACTTTACTGCCACCAGACATTCTGTGTTAATACCATCAGGCTGAAAATAACAGTCTCCCCAGTATTTCACATTTCAAGCCTGTTCTCATCTGCATGATCAGTGGGTTTGGCACTGACTTTACAAATAACAGCAGATTTTCAGCATTATGGATCATATTAATAAAGTGGCTTGTTTGAAGGTAATGGCTTATTATCATCTTGTTTCACCTTATCAGAAAAAGGCATTGGCAGAGCAGTCCTCACAAGGTTTCAAAATAACATTTAACTATCATGTAATTGTTTATGGACCTGGAACAAACTCTGCAGCACTGACAGACAGGACTGTCAGAAGTGAAGCAGTGACTTGTTGTGATATAAGCTGAGACAGAAGTAAAAGGCTTTTTACAGTTCTCTTAAACTTTTATTTCCTGTTCTCATATTTGTTCAGCATAGCAAAATATTTAAAAGTTTTCCAAGTACTTATGCTGTAATGACACAGCATTCTAATGGTAAAGTATTTTATAAATAAATTCCTGCGTGCAGATTGTGCAAATGTTGAGTTGTTGGCACGAAACAGACTTTTTTTTCCCTGTACTGATTAGAGTTCAGCTCTCTAAATGTCTTCATATGAAATAAATTATATAAAAATTCATCCCCTACACAGCTCTTTTCCTTCTAAAGTCACTTTCATGCAATTTGAGCTAATTCATTAGTTACTATAGTGCTAGTCCTGTGAAGCTATTTCTGGGAAATTAATATGCATGAGTCTTTATGGGTTTACAAATACACAAAATTAAATTTTAAATGCAGCAGTGTAAACACACATGAGCAGTAAGTTAATGACTAGAGAACGTCCTGATGTAAACTCTGACAGATTTGTAATGGGTTAAAATGATTCTGTTCAGTTTTTATCCTGCTCCCCTCTTCTCAGAATAGGCTCAGTACTTGAATGTGATCCTTACCTGCACATTTATCTTCTCTGAAGCAGGCAGCGGCTGCCTGTGTTGTTTGGAGGCTCGGGAGGGCTGTGTGTGCTCGGAGTCAGGCAGGGGAAAATGGCTCTTTCATGCAGAACCTTGTGCAAGAGGGAGGAAGTTGCCAGCCCGGCAGGAAGCGTCTGCGCCAGCAGCTCGGGGCTCCTATCTCACATCAGATCCTGTGTCCCCTGTCCCACGGCAAACTTCTGATCTGCCCGCCCTGGCTTCTGCAGAAAGGTGTTTGTGGCTCCTGCCACATCAGGCACCTCTGCCTATTGATGTGGAAATTCTCAAATACCTGTTTGCCTGTCTTTGTAGAAAATAGTTACGGTTTCTTCTGTGGGAATCAAAAACTCTGCGAGTTTGGGCTGGATTGGAGTGGCTGATGTAATTCAGTGGTGGGTTTGCTGTGCTCTCAGGGTTATTAGTGGGAAACCACCGCTGGGTTCCTTGGTGAGTCATGGAAAGCTCTGTGGTCATGGGATGCTGGCTGCTTGCACATCCTCCCTTGTGGGGCTGCAATGAGAGGCAGAGGGCAAAATCTGATTTCACCCTCAGCCTGTCCCTACTTGCTTGGTTGTTTTTCTGTGTGGACAGGGTTGTGACCAGCTGCCCTCGCTGGTGGAGGGCTGTGCTCGGAGCAGCTGCTTCCCCTGTCTGTCCCTGTCCATACCCTGGAGTGTAACCCAAGCTGCTCTCTTGGGTCTCTGTGAGCATTTTTGCCTGGAAAGGCTGCGTGGCGGAAAGAAACCCACTCCAAATATGTCTCATGGCACTTTGCAATTGTGTTCTGCCATAGCTACTGACAGATTCCTCTGCAGCCCTTCCTGTTGTGCCTCTCTGACTGCACTGCCCCTCTCTCTGACACTCTGCCTGCCCCTGCAGCACACACACATCCTGATCCCATCCTCACACTAACCCGGTGTTTCTCCTCTGGTTCCTTTGTCTCCTTCCCATTCTCTCCAGCCCCCACAGCTGATTCCCAGTTCTAGGCTAAGCATGCAGACTCCTTCCAGCTTTGTTTTCCTCACCACACAGCCCACCTTTGAGCCTGGCAGTTGAATTTTTTGAGCTCTGTCTCTGTCCTGGCTGCCACAGTGCCATGGTCCTGCTCCTGCTCTATCTGCCCTGCCAGCCAAGCTAATGGGTGATCCAGTGGAACTGGGGTGGGGGATTCAGTCATCCTGGTCCTCTCAAACCCGTCCAGCCATCTTATGTGTCACAGCTGTTGGTTACAGCTGCACAGGATGTTTGGAGCTTTGGCCCTGTGCAGCCTCAGCACTTGTAACCGCAGTGCAACAGAGCTTCTTCAGCCCGAGGGGCAGCCTGTGGAAAGCTTCTCACGTTTCCTTAAAAGAGCAAAGCTCTGCTGCAGGACAGCAGGCACAGGCACCTCCCTGGCACTGTGGCAAGGTCAGCTCTCTGAGAATAAAGAAACTAAAAGTTGTTGTGGTTGAAAGGAATTCCTGACATGCTCTGTTTGGTGTCAGGAGAAAGTGGAGTGTGTTTCCATGATGCAGGAAATCACAGCGAGTCATCAGAGACCTTTCCTGAGCCAGCCAATGTTACAGCAATAAAACACTCCAAGATGCCTGGTCATAGTTTTTTCTAACATCTGACTTAGAGAAATAGTATCATGCAAGCAATTAAAAAACTCATACTACAAGTTTATTGAAGATAACAAATTGAACAAGTTCTCATATTCTAGCAAATACTACAAACTTTATTTATTCATAGTCAGTGTGGAAACACAATAATTACGGTTCCAATCAGTCTGCTTCAAAAGTAACTAAGCTGGTTTAAGAAGTTCTTGATGGAAAATCCAAAAGGGCATTTTGAGAGGGACTAGATCCTGGGTTAGTGGTTGAATCAGAGTTGTGACTAATGTATGGTTTCCTTTGAAAAGCAACTCGGTTATGCCTGTGCAGCATCTTAGTGTTCAGAGTGTTGATCAGACTGACAGTCTGTTCCTTGTTCCCCTCTGTGCTCTTGGAGCATGGGCAGATTCTGTCCTTTAGGTTTATCCTGTTCAGCTCCTGTCACCCCGACTTCTGGTCAAAGGAGTAAAACCAGTCCTGACACTACTTACAGAAAGCTATTTAACACAGTGTTACTGCCTTCTGGATCCACACATGGCTGCAGCATTCCCACTGGCATAAATGGAAAACCTCTAAAATCTGGATTTAGCTTTCCAGATTTTTTGCTGTTACTTGAAATACAAGATTTTGCCTTACATTAATGGTGTAACAAAGGCAAAAGATGGATTTTTACCTGAGTGTGAATTAAATCTCAACTACAAAATTGGTTAAGATGGGCTTGTGTGACTGAGATGGTTCTTTGCTTTCTTGTTCATTATCTGCTGCTTTGGTGAGTTTCTCAGTAGTTTCATCTTCAGTTTTCCTTTGGTTCACAGCATCCCTCCCTGATACCAGCTCCTGCATTATCAGCTCAGTTCCACTTGTCTCCTTGGGCATCCTCTGCCACGTTCCTGCTGCTGTGGGCCACAGGCTGTTGGTGGCCAGGAGGTCCCCATTGCTCCTGGGCCTGCGTTTGCCCTGCTGGGCTCTTTTGAGATAGGAGATTTTGTTGGCTGCTATGACTGTGGACAGAAACAGGGAGATGCAGATGAACACAAGAACTGCAATGATAATGAAGCAAATCAGTATGAGAGACTTGTTGTCTTCACAGGTTTCTTTGGTCATTGGGCTCTTGGGTTTGCTGCTTTTCTCTGATCCTCCTGTGGTGGAAACTGCACTTGGGGCAGGGGAAATCAAATTTTGAGTCATTGTGGAGGAGAAGGAGGGCAGGGTACTTCGTGTTTTGGCTCGGGAAGGTGTTGGATTTTGGGCCATTGTGGAGGACGAGGATGGCAGGGTACTTTGCATTTCAGAAGGAGTTGTTTGGCTGCTGAAATTGAGGCTCAGAGGAGAATTTGTGCTTGCTTCTGTCCTGTTCTGACTCTCACTGAGGTTTTGGCTGGTGGGACTCCAGGTTTCTTCTCGGAGGTGAGGGTAGCCTGTGTGGTTTGCACTCGTTTGCAGCCACAGGGAGAAGATGATCATGACAGGAAAGGCCAGGCCTGGGTTACTGCCTCTCGTTGTCTGCATCTTCCTGTTGAGTCCCCTGCAAAAATACAAATTGGGGTGCTAGTTTAGCAGGTGCTGCTTCTTAGAGATTTGGATTGGACTTCTCAGGGGATAGCAGGATTCTTGGTGAAAAATACATGGCCTCATTTTGGGGGATGTAGGAGGGCAAGTTCAGGTGCCCAGATTGTGAAAGAATAGATTGTCTCAAACTTCTGACAGTTTGAGGTTACAGAAAACTTACAAAGATCAAAAAAGAACATGGAGAGAAAAAGAGAAGTGTTTCCTGCTGGGGGCTCCGTGATGTCAGGGCAGACTCGGGGAGTTCCTTCTCTCTGAAGCTGCCCACGTTACCCCGGTCATCACTTCTGCTTTACACAAAGGCCCTGGAGGTTACACATCCCTGGCTGCTTCTCACTCCCTGAGTTCCCCTGGGCCAGGCAGGGGAACCCTGCAGGGAACAGATGGGCAGGGAAAAACCTGAACCCAAAATGTTCCTGTAAGTGACAGCAATAACTTAATGTGAACTGTGTGTAGTTCCTACACAGCTGTCTGGGGTACTTTAAAATGCCTGGGAAAATCTTTGTTCTCTTGTTTTTCTGCTTTTTTGTACAAAAAGCTCTTCATCACAAATGTACTTCTTGTATTTTTCTCCCAAACATTCTGCAGATTGTGACATTTTCTGTAAAACGCCACCGATAAGCATGCAAATGAGAGTAACCATTCATATGTTCTGTTTCACATTTGTGTGGCATTCAAATCTGTACCTGAACTTTTCTGGCGGGTAGGAATGTGAGAGTGGGGTTGGTCTGATACGAAGATAATATTAATTATCTCAGATTAGCAGTGACAAATCAGCCAAGCTGTGACCCAGGCAGTGGGCAAGGCTGTGTCCCACCAGAGGCTTTCTTCTGGCTCTGGTACCAGACCAAAGCGTTTCCCGTGAGTGTTACACACTCTGTGTAGTGCAAATTGAAATGCTACAGGGAGTGACCAAAAGTAACATTGTTAATTTTATGGTTGTTCTTGAAAAAGTGTGGTTGTTGCCTGTAAAGGTAACAAAGTGTGTTTGTGTGTGGGTAAATATGAAACATCAGAGAAGTGACGTTCCTGTGTGTGAGCAGGTGAAGGGAAGGCAGGGATACACCTGGTGTGTAAGGGGATCTCTCCTGCACAACAAGCAAGCAACAAAAGATCTGCCTATAACTTTGCAGTTCACCCATAACATAAAATTGTTCTCCATCCTGAGATTAATCCTGTTTGTTCCGTTTGAACTGGAAACCATCTTGGTCATAAGCGACAGCTCAGGTAGGATTTTGTGTGTGTGTGGTGGTGACCTGGGTGATTCCTTGTAGCATACTTTGGAAAGGAGAAGGAAAGCAAAAAGCTTGGGGTTTGTAACGTTTCAGCTGTTTGGAGCAGGACAGGCAGGGCCAGCCCAGTGTTCCTGTCCCTGCCCAGGGTGCAGCTCCAGCTCTGCCCCAGCACACTGAGCCCAGTGTTCATTGTGGGCTCCCACTCCAGATGGGCTTTTCTTACAAATCAGCGGGCTCGGCTGTGAGGGGCTGCTCTTGAAACCACAAGAGCAAAGGAACTGATCTTTAAAGAGCTGGTTTTCTTTTTAGTTCAACCCTTTGTGTCTGGGTATTGACAGGGTCTCAGTACCCAGTGAGATCTGCACTGCAAGGACAACAGAGCCAAGTAGTGACTGTCACTGTTAATTCCTCAGTCTGACTGTGAATAACCTTTAACGTGATGAAAAATTCAGTATATCAGCTTCCCTGATTCAGTTGGAGATACTGTGTCTACAGTTTGTTGCTATTTTTTAATTAAAAATAATTAAAATTATTTTCTGGTGTCAAATTTCTGTAAAAATACCTTTTCATGTATTTTTCTACAAAACGTAAGAAACTCTGAAGTACAACTTAAAATAGGAGAAGGAAAATGTGTACTTACCTTGCCAAGATGCAGTCGACAGAACATGGATGTTTCAGATATTTAGTCCTTTGGCAATAAGATTTCTTTGTGCACAGATTTGCTCCTGGGATGCAGGCAGCCATCAGTGTACAGCAGGGAGATTTGGGCAGTGCTGATGTTTTTAGGCAAACCTGTAACTGCAGTGACATGTGGCTCTAAGTGGGGAACTAAAACCCACAGCTATGACACACTTCCTTTGGTAACAGCTCTACCATGACATGTTGGGGAAAAACACCACTTGCCCAACTTAGCTCTCAGAACCACCGGAGGTAACGTGGGGGTGGAAATCTCTTGTGCAGATGAGTTTTCTGTGTTCTGTCTCCTGAGTTGTCCTGCACTCAGGTGCTATCAAGAGAAGTGTCCCAAAAGCCTTAAAGCTACACCTGTGCTCAGAGCATTTATCAGCTCTTCTGTAGCCTGTTGTTTGCCTTGGAAGAGTTGAGTTAATGACAGCTCAGAACAGTGACAGGTATTTAAAAAACTTTAAAATTTCACAAGCTGCTGATGAAGTCATTTTTAATTAATTCTTACTAGAATTCAGTCTGCTGTGTGAACCCTGGAGATGTCGTTTAGGCAAATGCATTGCCCAGGCTCAAAATTCAGAGAACTTTTAAGTGAGAAAAAATATTCTCAATTATGTGAATGTTGTTGAAAAGAGGTATTTTTTTAGGCAAGTCCTCTGTCCTCCTCAGAGGACTGACCATTCTTAGAAACACCCCCAAGCACTGGAGTGCTGCAGGATAGAGTAACTGGAGTGGCTCCGGACCCTCTGAAAAAGTTGGGGTGTGGATGTTGGATGATTAAGACTCCTGAGACAAAAATATTTTTCCACATACAAGTATAGATATGATTTGAATGTCTAAGGTTGTTACAGAGTTAGAGGTTGTGGAGCACTTGAGGATGAAGCTGGGTTGGATCCAGGCCCCCTCGTCGCGGGCACTAAAGGTGCCCAGAGCTGAGGCCGCTGTGCTGTCCCTGCTGTGGCCCAGGGCTGTTGGCAGGACTGGCACCGGGGTCACTCTGCCTCAGGGCAGGACTGGGGCGCTCCTGGTGGGCCTGGGCACCCAGGGTTTGTGCTCTGGGCCTCAGGCATGACCCAGCCGTGTCTGTCCTGTCTTGCAGGTTCAAGACTGGTCAGATCAACGGGGATTTGCTGATCTACCACGTGCTGCTGACCCTGAAGCCATACTATGCAAAGCCATATGAAATTGTGGTGGACCTCACACATGCTGGCCCCAGTAATCGCTTTAAAACAGACTTTCTTTCTAAATGGTTTGTAGTTTTTCCAGGCTTTGCTTATGAAAATGTTGCAGCAGTTTTTATTTATAACTGTAACTCTTGGGTCAGAGAATACACCAAATACCATGAAAGGCTCTTGACAGGTTTGAAAGGGAGCAAAAGGCTTGTTTTCATAGACTCTCCAGGGAAGCTGGCAGAGCACATCGAACACGACCAGCAGAAACTCCCAGCAGCTACCTTGGCTTTGGAGGAGGACTTGAAAGTGTTTCACAATGCTCTCAAACTGGCTCATAAAGACACCAAAGTTTCTATTAAAGTAAGTGCTTTTAATGCTTTTCCTAGTGATCAGTTATATTTGTTTAGGGATTGGAATATGATTTTACTGTCTCTTAATTCTCCTCCCTTGTCTTGAGGAGAAATCACAGCTTTCTAGTACACCCCATTAGGAAGCACAAAATTTCATACATTCATCTTTGCTAAAAGTAGGAGTGTGAGTGTTTTGTCTGTGTGATTACCCAGAGGTGCTGCAGCAGTTTTCTGTTGTGTCCCCAAGGTTGGCTCGACCGCGGTGCAGGTGACGTCGGCGGAGCGCACGCGGGTGCTGGGCCAGACCGTGTTCCTCAACGACATCTACTACGCCTCTGAGATCGAGGAGATCTGCCTGGTGGATGAGAACCAGTTCACGCTGACCATTGCCAACCAGGGCACCCCGCTGACCTTCATGCACCAGGAGTGCGAGGCCATCGTCAGGTCCATCATCCACATCCGCACGCGCTGGGAGCTGTCGCAGCCCGACTCCATCCCCCAGCACACCAAGATCCGCCCCAAGGACGTGCCCGGGACGCTGCTCAACATCGCCCTGCTCAACCTGGGCAGCTCCGACCCCAGCCTGCGGTAACAGCTCTGCTCTGCTGCTCCTCTGCTCCTCAGGGGCTCCTCGGGCTGCTCCACTGCTGGAGAGCCCCTTGAGCAAAGCCACAGCTCCGTACAGTGCAGGTCTCAGTAAATAAAGATTGAGTTCCTGTGACTGAAGAAGGGCACACACTGTCAGAGGAAGTGAAGGAAACTTAATTTCTCTTTATGAGAAGCAGTAGTTCTGCTTTGCACTCTGTGTTTATTGGTACATACCATTTCCATGGTGTTGAGCTTCGTGTTTAAGAGCATGGGAGCTGTACCCCTTAGAGCAGCTTGTGATTTGTGTCAGAACAGGCTCCCCCAGGCTTGGTGCTGAGCAGGGGCACCCCTGGGCTTTGGGCAGGCTCTCTCCCAGCAGCTTAGGTACACCTGGAGAGATGTAGAATTTCCTGGAACTCCGTGGTGTTCTGGGAAACCCAATACAAAGCCCTTCAAACATACTCTGTAACCTTATCAGCAATTGTTCAGAGCAAGTGGAGGAATCATTTCTTCTATTTCTCCAAGGAAGTTCTTTTTTGCTCCAAATTGTAGCCTGTCCAGGGGAAAATATTTGGGAATTTAAATGTAATTTCTACTATAGCAGCATTGAATTGATTTTTGAAATGTCAGTACTGTGATGTATAATATGTATATGTTCAGAAGTACAGGAAAGCTCTTACAAATCACATTGTTTGCTTTGTTACAGGTCTGCTGCCTATAATCTTCTATGTGCCTTAACCTGTACCTTTAATTTAAAGATTGAGGGCCAGTTACTGGAAACTTCAGGTCTGTGTATTCCTGCCAACAACACCCTATTTATTGTATCTATCAGTAAGACTCTTGCAGCAAATGAGCCACACCTCACCTTGGAGTTCTTGGAGGAGTGTATTTCAGGATTCAGCAAATCCAGTAAGTAACTCCAGTGTGGTTAGTGCCAACCATGAATTTGAAAAGATACTAAACTCTAAAAGGATTTTAGATCTTGTTTAGTCAACTGAGCTTCCTCCCTGGCTCTGTTGCTCTCTCCTTTCGCCATGCCTCTTTGAAGGCTCTCTGTTGGCCCAGTGTTCTTTGCTCAGCTGGGACAGTAATTGTTTCAGGCACTAAAACTGAAGGAGGAGTTATTTATGAGGGGGGCAGTGCTGGCCATGTGTGATGAGCATTTTATTGCAGGCATTGAGCTGAAGCACCTGTGCCTGGAGTACATGACCCCCTGGCTGTCCAACCTGGTGCGCTTCTGCAAGCACAACGACGACGCCAAGCGCCAGCGCGTCACCGCCATCCTGGACAAGCTCATCACCATGACCATCAACGAGAAGCAGATGTACCCTTCCATTCAGGCCAAGATATGGGGCAGCCTGGGACAGGTACTGCTTCTGCATCCTCTGTAAACAAACACTGCACATCAGGTTTCTTCTTCCTGGTCAGCATTTTATAAAGAGTTGAAGTGGAAAATGAAATAAAAATAGTGCTAAATTTAGTTTCTAGTTCTGAATCACTAGTAGTAAAACCTAATGGAATTCAGCTTTATGCTTCTAAAATTTACATGGGGCTTTTTGCCAGAAGGGTAACGAGTCCCTAACGTGGATGGTTCAGTTTGTGACAGTTGTGCATCTTCAGCTGAAGAAATGAATTACTGCTGTTCAAAGGGTCGTTCACGGTGCAAAAGTCAAGTTAATCTGACTCTTTTTCTCTGTCAGATAACAGATCTCCTGGATGTAGTATTGGACAGTTTCATCAAAACCAGTGCCACAGGGGGCTTGGGCTCCATCAAAGCTGAGGTGATGGCAGACACAGCTGTAGCACTGGCTTCTGGCAATGTCAAACTGGTGTCAAGCAAAGTGAGTTCTCTCTTTGCCTTCATTTCCTTTTAGAGAATTTCTAGTTATTTACTAATGTGACACTGAGATGCTTTCTGATAACTCAGGACAGGCAACAATGCAGAAGCCATGATAAAATAGATTCCAAGCAGTAGAGCATTGATGGTTTTTATTGAAATTCTGAGCTGTGCTCTCTGTTTGAGTAGAACAGAATGGTTGCTCTCTTTTCAGGTGATTGGGAGGATGTGTAAAATCATTGACAAGACCTGTCTGTCCCCCACACCCACGCTGGAGCAGCACCTGATGTGGGATGACATTGCCATTCTGGCTCGGTACATGCTCATGCTCTCCTTCAACAACTCCCTGGACGTGGCTGCACATCTGCCCTACCTCTTCCACGTGGTGACTCTGCTGGTGGCCACGGGGCCCCTTTCCCTCAGAGCTTCCACTCACGGGCTCGTCATCAACATCATTCACTCCCTTTGCACTTGTTCACAGCTCCACTTCAGTGGTGAGCTTTTTTGGATTTTCAATGAAGCTGATTGCTCCTTAATTTGTTTAACAAATATTTGAGTTGTCTTTCTCTGCAAACTATTCTGAGAGTTTGAAAAAAGTGGGTTGTAGTTCAGCATGAATACAAATCAGAATGAGGATATGATCAACAAGAAATGAGTATGGAATTAAAAGATATCCTACTCAGAGCAGGTGCATAATGTAAATTGTTTGTATAATGGGTTTTAGAAAAAGAGAAGAAAGTACCAGTGATTTTCTGGTAAGGCAAAGGAGAAAATGCATCTGTGCTAAAACTGGCTCATGTACATCTTGTGAAGGGTTGCATAACATGGTAACAAAAATACCAATTACATAAGGGAATTGTGAATTTACAGTATTAAAACAAGTATTTTATCTACTGCTGTATTTTAGCAGTCCTAAAATAATTGATATTGGCAATTTGGCACTTCTTAGCCCAGAAGCACAATGTGAAACCAGGCTGAATTTTGTGCAGAAGAAAAATTCAAAGTTTATGTGATCTTGTCTGTTTTTTTATAGTGTCTCATTCTGTCTGTAGGTATCAGCAGGGAGCGTGGGTGTGCACACACACACACAGAGGTGTCTGTGTGTCTGTGCTCTCATGCACGGGGTGCTGAGCCTCCTGCTCACACAGTGGGTTTGAAGTACACTGAAATCAACTGAAAGGGCAGAACTGTACAGATAGTCAGTGCCAGAGCAGGGCCATAATTTTCTTCTGCTTTAAGTGTATTTCTTCATGTGAGTGCCAGAGCCAAAAGCAGAGTCTGCTGCAGTTTGAACTTCCAGTTCTGTCAGTATTTCAGAGCAGGAACACTCTGGGTTTCCATTTTCTGAATCACTGTGAGGAGAACAGATAGAGCCACATCTTTACACAAGTTGCTCTGTAGAGTCTCTAGAATCCAGTCCTCATGGCTGGTCTCAGCAGTCAGGGCAGGAGAGCAGAGCTGCTGTGCCTGACCCGGGGCAGTGGCCAAGGGAGCGCTGCTGGAATGGGCACAGGGACCTTGGCTGTGTCCCTGGCGGGAAATGTGCATTTGAATGTCCCTGGAGTCAATATAAAATGTGCAACTTTGTTCTACAGAGGAGACCAAGCAAGTTTTAAGGCTGAGCTTGACTGAGTTCTCCCTGCCCAAGTTTTATTTGCTGTTTGGGATCAGCAAAGTGAAGTCGGCGGCGGTGATCGCGTTCCGCTCCAGCTACCGCGACCGCTCCTTCTCGCCCGGCTCCTACGAGCGAGAGACCTTCGCCCTCA